AGCCATGCATTTAGATTTCACCTAGATAGGTACGAAAGTTTAAAATTGTTTCTTTGTTCGTGAAGAAATGCCAAAGTGCATCAATTAGAGTTCTGGATAAAAATAGGGTAAATGGCAGATATCGATTGTCAAGGCATTCCTTTTTAAGTAATGTTTTGTATTATGTAAAGAGTAGCATGATTTCAAATCGCGTCCTCACACTCTCTGACTCCGGTGCCAAATGTGTGCAGGGCAACATTGTCAAGCTGTCAAATAGTGTCAAGTTGTCAAATAGTGAAGAACTTACGTGTGTAGAACTTAATGTTCCAATTACCCCTGTGGGTCTTGTAGATGGTATTGATCATGTTTTTTCATCTACTGGCGGTGAAAATGTGCCCAACAACCTAGCAATAAATATCTCGCAAAAATCTGATAGCTTGCCTTTTTTATGTCCCCCTTCAATAATAATAGAAGAAGGGTAGATTCAAATTCAAATTCTGTGTCAATACTTACCTTGAACATCCAATCTGTTCGCAATAAAATCAAAGAGTTTGAGGTTTTCTTGGAAAACTGCAACAGACCAGACTTAATCTTGCTCACAGAACATTGGTTAAAAAACTGGGAGCCTTTTCACTTGCCAAATTATTATATTGTCTCAAACTACTGTAGAGACTCCTCCAATGGGTATGGAGGTACAATTATTTTAATGAAAAAATCATTCTCTTTAAACTTCAATATGGAGGAGGTTGACAAGTATGACTTCTTGCGTGTGGAAAAAGAATTCGAATTTTCGATTGCATTTAACAGAAGACACAATTTGTATTTAATTTGTATATATAGACCTCCAAGAACAAATGCTACAGGTTTTTTAGTGAACTTAGAAACCATTTTATTGGATTTACCGGTTAATTGTAAGGTCATTTTGTCAGGAGATCTAAATATTAACTTTATTGACAACCAATCACCAGCTACTCTGGCATTAAAGGACCTACTGTGCTCTTATGGTTTGTCTATGCATGTTGACTCTCCTACCAGGTGGCCGATCCTCGGGCCAGGGAGTAGAGCTCCCCGATAGAACGAATGTTTTGTCCTTGTCAACGTAATCGAAAAGTAAACGAGAATGATAAGGACGAAAATTTTGTTCTCTCGGGGAGCTCCACTCCCTGGCTCGAGGATCGGCCCGCAGGGTAGCTGAAGATTCTGCTACTGTTATTGACTATTTTTGTACTAACTTATCCGAGAACGGGGTTAACTGTGAAATGGTTTCCACCCCTGGACTGTCAGACCATGAGGCATTGTTAGCCAACTTCTCTCTACTCTGCACAAAACAAAAAATACCCCAAAGATATGGGAGGATTTTTTCAAGTCGGAATTTTGAAAGATTTAATACTTGTTCTTCCTTGGTGGACTGGGAGTGTGTGCTTGCTTCAGAAAAGCCTCTGGAATTGTTCCATACACTGTTGCACAATACGTTTGCCAAGAGCTTTCCAGTGTGCAATATGAGAGCAAAAAAGCCCAAAAAAAACTGGATTACGAAAGGCATTAAGACTTCCTCAAGAAATCTTAAATCTTTACATTTCATCAAAAAGTTTGCCGATAGTCAGTATTTTATAAATTATTATAATGAATATCGGAAAATTTATAGGAAAGTTATCGGATCAGCAAAATTACAATACTATCAAAATAGAATCTCTAATGCAAAAAACCCTTCAAAAGAGGCATGGTCCATTGTGAACGACCTAAGGGGCAAGCATAGCCATGCAGAAAAGTCAGCTGATATTCAGCCAAACATTCTAAATGAATTCTACTGTTCAATTGCGAAAAAAATTTCAGACAAGATAGAACCCGCCTTAGATCCCCTCAGTTATCTTAGCCATTCACACATCGATGAAACATTCACTTTAACAGAAACAACTGTAGAGGAACTTAAAATTATAAACAGAGACATAAAAAATAAAAACTCTGCTGGAATAGACGAGATGTCTGTCAAAATCTTTCAAAACTTAAATGATAATAGTCTCTATGTGCTGTCACAGGCCATCAACAAATGTTTTGAGGTTGGTGAATTCCCCGACTCACTTAAGGTTGCCTTGGTGGTCCCCATACATAAAGGTGGCTCCTTCAAGGACCCAGCTAACTTTAGACCCATTTCACTTTTAAATACCCTGTCAAAAATAGTGGAGAAGGTGGTGAAGAATAGACTGACTGTGTTTTTATCACGTAACAATATAATTAGCGATTGTCAATTTGGATTTCAGTCATCTAAAAGTACTAGTGATGCTGTATTCTGTTTCCTGGAGCAATTGTATTTGAAACTGAATGATAGAGAGGTTGCAGCTGCGGTTTTCTGCGATCTCTCTAAAGCGTTCGATTGCGTTAGACATGACATACTCTTGAATAAAATGTATATTTATGGAATTCGGGACACTTCATTGAAATTCTTTACCTCATATTTATCAAAAAGGACCCAAATGGTTAATAACAGGAGTTCCATATCATCAGCCTTAGCAATTGACACAGGAGTTCCACAAGGTTCTGTCCCTGGGACCTATTTTGTTTTTGATGTATGTTAATGACCTTTTTGAATTACCACTTGAGTGTATGTTCACTGGTTTTGCTGACGATATTACGCCCCTTTGGCACCATAAGGACCCACTGCTCTTGAAAGAGATTGTTTCTAATGACCTCCATCGAATAAAAGCATGGTGTGATTCAAATTTTCTAAGTTTTAATATTGAAAAAACCAAAGTTCTCAGTTTTAAATTTACATTTGATAATCTTCAACTTGGAAATCAGTCAATCGGTCTCAGTCAGGATACTAAATTTCTTGGAATTAATATTGACTGTAATTTAAAATTTTTCCAGCATATAATCAACTTAAATAAAAAAATTGCAGCGGGAGGCTATGCTGTACGCCAAACGTGCTGTGAATTGGGTCAGTCTATGGCTAAGGCCACTTATTTTGCTCTTGTTGAGTCCCACTTGCGCTATGGAATTGCTTTTTGGGGGAACTGCAGTAAGTGTTTGTTTCAATCGGTGTTTACTCTTCAGAAACGTTCTGTTAGGTATATTTTTGGAGCAGGTCTCAGAGATCACTGCCGAGAATTATTTAGGAGGGGGGGAATGTTAACCTTAGTGGATCTCTTTATCTTAGAGACTGTCTGTTTAGTTCACAAGAGGTACCAGGGTACTACAAATGCGCACTCCTATCCAACAAGGAACTACAACCTGATACCTTTGCCTATACCAAGGTTCTCTCTAACTCAGGATTCTCTGATTTATAAAAATATACAAATGTACAATAAACTACCATTAAATTTAAGAACGGATCAAAATTATAAATCTTTTAGAAATAAGGTTAAAAGTTTATTGGCAGATAAAACATTTTATTCTCTTGACGAGTATTTTGATGACAACCTTTAACAGGATCTTGTGTCTGTATCGTGATGTAAGTGTCTAAAACTCAACTTTATGTTTTATGTTTTATACTACTTGTAGGACAGGGTCTACCTGATTTAGTAATAGATTCACAATGCCATAATAACTGATGTGTTCTAAATTTTAAAAATGTTACAAATTTACTAATAAGTACTGAATTTTTCTTTTATTGTTAGTCATTTTACCACTTGCTAGTGCCACTGCTGTAGTGTCTTTTTTACTTGTTATCTGTTCTTATATTTTATATTATTAAGGATGTTGCTTTGTCAATAGAATGTACTATAATTTTCTGACAATAAAGCATATTTGAAATTTGAAAATTTGAAATTTGAAGAATGCACCTGCAACAAACTGATTATACAGGGTGTCCCACAACGTTTTTCCCAGATGATAACTTCGGAACGCGTCATCCAATATAATTAAAATTTTGAGGATCTGGGTAACTTTTTGTGTCGCTCCTACCATTGTCATCCAATTTCACCACTTTCGCATCAATTCCGATCAAGTGACATCAACTTTTCGAATCTTAAATGTAACTCATGGTATATTATTGTATTTTTGGTTAGAAAATTAAATTACAATGTCGGCAATGTCATATTTATTAAGGCTTTGTTAAGGAAAATAATAAGAAATTATACAGTGTATATACGATGATGCGTACCGAAGTTATCATTTGGGAAAAACCTCGTGGTATTTGTATATTAGCTTGGGCTAACATTTCTTGGACAAACATTTTGGATTAACATTTTTTCCTCGATTTTTTCTTTACGAATATGGAAATCTTAATTTTTTGCTTTTGTTATTTTCTTTGTTATCTTTGTTTTTTTTATGTTTTCTTAATTTTCTTATGCTTAAAATCAATTAAAATTATTTCGTATTCCCTAACATACCTAGTCTTTATTTTCGCTTTTCTGAACTATTAAGAGTTCTCTGTGCTTTAGGTATTGCAGCACCTACATTTTTTCGAGATCGAGAAATCTCGAAAAAAATTCTCGATCTCGAAAAATCTCGAACTGTTTTTCTCGATCTCGTCTCGAAAAAAAAAATTCAATCTCATCTCGACCTCGTCTCGAAATCGAGACGAGACGAGAAATCTTGAATTTCGAGAATCTCGTGAAACCCTATTATGGATAGTATTGTGCGAGGTATTGTGGATAGTCTCACATTGCTAGAACTGGTGACTCTAGAAGTTCCTCAAAGGATAATAAGGAATTTCTCCTCGTTGCATGTTGGTTTCCATAGAACGAATTATGGAATGAACTTGCCTTTGTACAGAATGGCTAGTTCTGAGGCTAGTTCATTGAATAGATTGAATATTGATATATCATTTAATGTCTCTCTTGGACAGTTTGATAAAATGGAGAGAGTTCCTGGAGAGTGAGTTATAAAAATTCCAAATACCTTAATTAGGAATTGTAATTGAACTGTGATCAAATTGTATCCTGTTATTTCTGCTAAATTTGTACCTAACATGTTATTGTTTCACACATCGAAGTTTCACATTAATACGAGCATTTATATAATTGTTAAAAATGTAAATGGTACATCCGTTGAAATGAAATAAATAAATAAATTTTACTTACATTGAGGAAAATTCGTAGGTTTACTATAACTGCAATTCCCAGTGACATTAACACTCTTACTTCGATTATAAGTTCCATAGCCAGCATATCCTCCGAAATTTGAATGAGGCCTGGATGGCAACTGCTGAGTGTTGTCCCTTACAATTTCAGACTTCACGTAAAACGGTTTACTTTCGGCCAGCAATTCTACAGCCGATTTTCTTTTGGCCCTCATCGACTGGGACTTGGTCAGGCTCGGGTACATCATTGTAGCCATTTTTTCTACTTCCTGGGGGGGCAGTGAAGTGGTTGATTAAAAATTACTCACATTTTTATAGGAGGTTTCTTATTATTATCCACCCAAGTGGATAATAAATATTTAAATAAAAAATAAAAAATATTGAGCCACTTTCACAACTATAATATGTTGATAATAAACATTGTTTTTATCAATAAAAACGTTGCTTAAAAATTGTTTAATGTGTACGGTAGTGTTACATTGACATGCGAATACTTTTTGGCTAAAATTTTAAGTCACTATTTGTTATTGATTGTATAATAAACACTAAAATATTTTGTAATAATAATAAATTGAATAATGAGTAGCCATTTCAGTTTTCTTTCACAGCTGACTGCTTGTCACGCATGCGTTATCTGTCAAAAATCCGCCCATGAAAAAAATTAGCAACGCTGTATTGATAGGATTTAGTGTCTCTTTTTATTGCGCATAAAAAACGAAACAGCAATATGACCAAGGGAATTGATTTAGCCGCAAAATTTACTTATCACCTATCTTTTTGTCAATTTTGACATTTCTCATTTCTCCTTTATTTATTTGTAAACAAAAAAAATGTAAACACATTTTTAAAAATTATTAATATTATCCTTGTTATAGCTCCTATCAAACATGAAACTGAATAGTTTTTGTAGAATATGCATGAATAAAAGTAGTAAATTAACACCAATATTTGACCCTATAAAGCCTCCTTATTTTTCACTGTTAATAATGGCTTGTGCTTCAGTCCAGGTTTGTTTAAAATATGAAAATTTCCTAATATGATAAACTCTTTGAATACTTTAGATTGAAAAAGATGACGAGTTACCCGCTTTTATATGCCTGAAATGTATTTCAAGATTGAACATAGCATTTCAGTTCAAGACAGACTGCGAATCCTCAGATAGGAAATTCAGGGAGTATATTCAAAAACAGAAACTAGGTAAATATATATATATATATATTGTTTTCAGTTATTGCAGCTTATTTATTTTTTTTGTTTGGTACAGAGTCTATTCAAAATAAGGCACTCGAGAAGGTACTAGAAGATGCTTCTCCTACAAGAAACCAGCAAACACAAATCGGTCTCTCTGAGATTGTTGTTGAGCAGAATGGGCATAATATCTATTATCAGGTGAGATTCTTTGAGTATCTTCAATTAACAACAAATTCAATTTTCTAAAAATGAAAAATATTTCTTTGAATAGTGTGGCATTTAAACAAGTGATTACTATCTTATCAGCAATAAAAATGAATTGGGAAGTCTGGTTTTTGTGTTCTAGGTATACTAGAAGTGTATTATCTCATGGAGGTACTGTAATAATGTCTACTAATAACAAATTTTTAGGAGTAACCGAGGGAGTAACCAAGTTCAACAATAGTTTATTATCTGAAAAATTATTTGAATTTTCTATCGTCTACAACACTACAACCTCAACATTGTTTGCATTCACAGAACACCTGATGCTGACTTGGTTATGTTTTTTCAAAACTTACTAATCTGGCTTCAGTCCCTCCTAAATAAGAAATTTAATCTTCAACATAGATTTTTCCATTGTATGTACTGTTCAAGAATGGGCGCTTTCTTTTATTCACCGATGGATCCCTTGATGACAGGTCTATCTTTGTCTAGTTCATAAAAAATCCGAATGGCTGTCTCATAATGCCGTCAGCAGATGGATCCATTGATAAATAAAAGAATTCGCCCAATCTCTTTACTTAGTCTATACTTGAACCCTCGCTTGAACCTTTTGGTATAGTCATGCACATTCAATCTCCAACCCGAATAACTAAAACCAGATCTAGCACTATCGACTATGTCGTGTCATCTTCTGATCCATGCTTCGTTGACTGTTATGTCTTTAGTTCAGGGTTTTCATATCATTAAGCGGTACTCACAAACTTATGTCAAACAATTGACTGGGATTGCCTCTCTGGTAACATCGATAGTGCATTTTTTACATTTTCAAATAAATTATCTGGTCTGGCTTTCAAAGCATTTTCCCTCAGGCCTATCAAAAATAGACAACATAAACCCTGGACTACTAAAGGCTTGCGGACATTGGCAAAAAACATGCGCTTATTGTCACACTTAAAAAAAATTCGGACAATCCCTTCTTTCAAAATTATGTAAACCCACATAAAACGCTGTGATAAAACTATAAAAGCCGCCAATGACACTTATTATAACAACCGGTTTGCTAGAACTGAAAATATTGCCAAAGAAATGTGGTCTATTGTCAATGATTTGAGAAATAAGTCATTCTCGTCCAGTATAACCTCTACCTCCACTGAGAACCTAAACGATTACTTTGTAAATGTGGCAATAAAATATAAAATTGATGACTACTAAAGCTCCTCGCTTTCATATCTTTCTAGTACCAATATGAATTTACACAGTTTCTTACAGCCATAGAAACACCAGAGCTTTGCAGTACTAAAAAGACATCAAAAACAAATTGTCATTTGGGACTAATGGGCTCACTTTAAAAATGCTTCTTAATTTACCGGAATCTACAGGGCATTTGATTATATTTGGACCCATACCTACAGCATTTACTATTTAAGATAGAAAAAAAATTTAAATACAAAGTTTGACAGTTTTTTTCTATATTTTCTTTTAACCTTATCAGAAAAAACAAAATCGCATCGAAAAATGGAGAAACGTAGACAACTTCGACTTTTTTTTAATGGAACACCTTGTATATTTTACGATAAAATGAAAGATCTTTTCGTCCTGATTCCAAAATATACTATAGTTAAAATGAACAGTGATGAAGAGCAGATTGTTGCCGCCGCTACTAATTGTGTCGTTTTCAGCAGATCTGTCTTCTCGCGTTCACTTTTATGAAACTGGTTCAAAACAGGTTTGAAATAGTATATTATCGTGATGAACCCATGACGTGACACAAAATTGGTTCAAACCTCAGTTCAAACCGCTTCGAAATAAAATCCAATACATGTTTTTAAACCGTTTTCTCACGCCGAGAAGTTATGACGTCATTTTTCATAATAGGGTATTCTCATGAGAAATAAATATGGCTTATTTTGTTTTTATGGTGCACGTTTTTCTGTAAAATATGGATATGAGCAGTTTTGTATCAAATTTATGGATATTATAGTCATACAGCAATTATTAGTTTGAAATTGAAAAGTTTCGCGCGGAAAAGTTATGTTTAACATGGCCGCTTCCAGTGACGTCAACTGTTCGTAAACTAAGGTTAAGGCTAGTTTACACTGATCGCAAATCCACGGTCCACACTTTTGTGGCTCACTCTTGAGACGTGGAATGATTGGTCCACGATTAGCTCCTCCACGCCATGACTGTTATTGAACCACCATAAATGGGTCTATAGAGGGAAGATTGTCAGACTGCACTTTTCTAAATCCTGTATCAATTATGATGAACTATCTGAAACATGAAATGTCACAATATGGCACTATAGTTCATACCAAATAAACTTATAGTCGGGTTGTCAAGCTCGGCCGGGACAGCGTTGCATATTTTCCTTTGGTCAAAATATTTCCAGAAACAATAATTATTATTATATTATAATATAATGCAAACATTTATTACTTAAATTATAAACATTGTTTCAAAGCTTGGTTCAATAGATATTCAATAACAACTCATTTGTCAATCATCACATAAAATATAATAGTAACGCTCATTTTATTTACAGCCACTCTAAATACTATAAATAATTAAATATTATGGGTATTTGAATCATCAAGAATATTTTCAATTATTCTGGATCACTGAAATCGCTAGAATCGCTAGAGTCTTCATCAACATGGATAATAAGTGGAAGAACCTTTTGCCTGTCCATTACTTGTTCCCTGTTATACTACTCGTCAATTATTCCTTCTGTATGTGCAATAGAATTTTTCCACATTTCAGGGGTAACAGTTTCCAGTGCCTCTCGCCACACTTTTAAACAAGTATCTTGAGTATAACCATTTCTGCCAATATGTCGGTTATAGTAGTTTTTTGCAATTCCCCGAATAAGTTCAATCGGGTTAAAAGTACAGTGGTATGGAGGTAGTCGTAAAACTTTATGTCCATACTAATCTGCCAAGTCATCTACCACATACTTTTTTGTTGGTTTATTCCTAAAAATGCAATAGGTACTTGAGAAGTTGAACATAAAATGCAAACAATTTTGGTATTGTAGGTAGGTACCTACTTACCGTGCAACAATGGTCACAAGTTCAGATTTCAATGTTGTATTTGGATACTCAACTTTCTGTTTGGTTAACCAATTTTGAATTTCAGCCTTGGTAGATGAACTATTAGGTGTCTTCATAATAACATTCTGTGGTAAGGAGCATTGTCTATAACAATGACGAAGTTTCACTCAAGTTCTTCAAAAGCTGATTTTTGAACCAACATAAAAAGTTTTGCTGATTAATTTCTCCATGATAGTCGTTAAGTTGAGTTTTCGATGAAAATACAAGTGATGCACCTTCAATGATTCCATTTCCAGCATGAAGTATGATATATCTAAAAAAAGCATTTCTTTTGTACTTATAATACAACTGTATTCGTGTTTATATTCACCTTTTACCATCAACTTTGGTAGTTTTAACACTTCGCTTGTTGTTGTCTTGCCACGAGCGGTTAATAGTCGGTACCATTTTGAAAAATTCAAGTCTCATCCAAGAAAACAAACTGGTACAAAGCCTCCTGTTTCAGTATTAGATAAGACCTCAAAAATGATAGGCGTTTAACAGCAATATCAGGAAGTTCAATGAGCCCTTGTCTTGGGCCGTTTTTTTTCCATTTGAAGCCTAGGTATTTTTTTTAACATTCTACTCAATGACATGCGACTGCCATCAAATAATTGTTTGGCTTTCAATTGCTTACATATACAGAATAATGTTACATTGTCATGTCCTACAAGAAGAAAGAAGAGGATTCATAGATATCTATGTACCTTGTCTCAAACGATTTACTTTTTGCATACATATTGTAAATAGTGTTACGTATAGCACTGCTATCGAACTTTGAAACATCACTAACTCTTCGAAGTGCATCCTTTCTCAGAAGGCGATTCCAAAACTTCGTTATTTTTGACTGCCTTTGAAATATCACAGACATTGGACATACTTAAGTTCAAAGCCTCTGCTACGCGCTAAAAATGAGAGAAAATAAAGTTCAAATTGAAAATTCCTATTTGGTCACACGACATCAACGACTTGTAAACTCACCTTCCTAACAGCATTTAAGGGACATAAAGGGCCAATATTATTGCATTCTCGTTCGAAATATTGTTACAATTATGCGATTAGTTCTTTGCAACGGCTGTTAAGCTGCTTCGGTATCTTGTACACTTCGCACTACAAGCTGCTTTTAAAAAACAAGGTCACAATCAATAGCACAAACCAAAATCTCGTAACTGCCAAAACGCAATCAAAATTCAAAATGTCAAGAATTTAATTTGGCAACGTTACATTAGTAGATAGTCAAAGCGGGTCCTAGCACAAAAATCCGACCATAACCTCAATCTTTCATTCTTGACACGAAGGTGGATGCGTCGTCGTTGACACGAAGGTGGATGCGCCGCCATGGCCCCATCTTGTTGACAGATGGCGCCATGGGACCTGCTCCCACAGGGCTCCGCCCCCAAAAGGGGGCCCACAGGGCTGCGCCCCCCGAAAAGGGGCTCCCCGGATTTTATCATGGGTACCAGAAAAAGGGGTGGGGGGAAACGTTTTCCCGCCATCTTGTCAAACGTCACCTGTCAAACGTCACCTGTCAAACGTCATTTGTCAAACGTCACCTGTCAAACGTCATCTGTCAAACGTCATCTGTCACCTGTGATGACGTCATAGCGAGAGAGTGCGGTGAATTCTTGCAATTACAGGTTCCTGTAATATGGAGTTTGCGTGGAAGGGATTGTTCCGAGTCGTTTCGAAATCGCTACGTATATTTAATTATGGTTCGGGGAATCACAGGTTCCTGTAATATGGAGTTTGCGTGGAAGGGATTGCTCCGAGTCGTTTCGAAATCGCTACGTATATTTAATTATGGTTCGGGTTCTGTGATGACGTCATAGCGACCTGGGTCACGTGGGTTACGTCAGTGCGGGTCCGTGGAGTCATCTAGAGTACAGAGTGCAAAGTTCGATTCAG